CTCTAGGGGCTGGGTGAAAGCCCCTCCACCTTGGGCTTCAGCTCAGCCTCTTATTGCAGGCGTCTCCTAACTCAGGCAGCTGCTGGCTGCTAAGGCTAATGAACGCAAAGTCAGCAGGTCAAATGGCACAGTCCTAAGAACACCAAGCAACACAGCAGGCCACTAGTTCAAGTCCAGGACCAATCCCAAGATGGGCTGGCAACCCAGCAGACCCCTGAGATAAAGACTCAGCCAAAACCAGGGTCCAAAACTGCCAAAACCTCCAGACCTTTCTCAAAGCCTGTCCTGATCGACTGGAAGCAGGCCACGCCCTATAGGCAGTTCCTTAGCTGCTCACAGCACATTCCACCGTGGAGTTAATTACCAGCCTCATCATGGAGAATAACCAGATCCAGCTGCCCAGCCATTCGACCGGGCCCAGCCAAGTTGACACACCACCTTAACTACCACAGTAAGAAACAAAACATTCTGAAGTGTGCAGGCTTTTTGTTTTCCTTCTGTGGTGACAATATACACAGCAAAAAGTACCCATGCCTCCACAATTTCTCTGTGTAGCCCTCAGTGACACTGATTGCCTTCTTCAGTGGTGTCCCACTGTTCTCACTAGCTTCTTCCAGATGATGCCACCACCATGAACATAAACTCAGTGCCCCCAACCACAAACCCCTCCTGTGCCCCTCCCTCCAACACTTGGCACCCACTAATTATGTTTGGTTTCGATACCTCCGTTTATTGCATAGAAAGTAGTTCATAACAGCATTTGTCCTTTTGTGAGCACTGTTTCAGTCAGCGTGATGTTCTCAAGGTTCATCCATGCTGTGGTGAGCATCAGGACTTCACCTGTCTCTCTGGCTGAGTAATAGTCTGTTGTGTTTATGGACCACCTGTGTGTCCACTCAGCTCTTGACAGGCACTGAAGTTGTTTCCACATTTGGCTACCGTGGAAAGTGCTGCGGTGAGCGTGGGCACAGGATTCTGTTTGGATTCTTGCCAATGCTGGTGCCTAAGGCATGTGACTGCTAACCAGAAGGCCGGCGGTTCAGACCC